ATTGATATTTGCATAATGATTTCTATAAAAGCAGTTGTTTTTGCCATTTTTTGTTCGTTGCATTAATTGGTGAATTACATAAATCTGTATTTGAACTGTCTTAAAATATATATACGTCTGTTTTTCAGCTGTAATTGTTGTTTTTCAATTTTGATAAAAACTAAGGTGATGGAGAAAAGAATTTTGCCGTCAGATAATCCCTAATAAATGAGTGCTTTTTATTGTTCTCTGAGCAGTTTGCCTTGAAGATGTTGCCTGTTTTACTGTTGATAACGACAACAGTTGAACGAAGTATAAGGTATATTACTAACATTATTTTTTTCACCATTTTGTTTTTAGGTATAAACAGAAACTTTTTGATCTGAAATGTATACAGATGACTTCCCGTCGCTATTTTTTCTTTTGTAACTGAAACTGCTTTAACTTTGGCTTATCTTTGAGACAGTCGACTTCTTCTGTGCCAACATAAAACTTATCGTTTATTAAATATTTATAGTGTTTTATTTCTGTATTGATTTTACAAGTTCTGTAAGTGTAATCTGCAGTAAACGATAACTGCGCCTACCTCACTCATCGTTTATCAGTTCACTTTGAAATTTCAAGGAAAAGATCCAAAAATGGAAATAATTTTATCGGTGGTTCCCGTTGAGTTGAAAATTGTAAATAGAAGATACTTTTTCTAACATAGAAGGCAAGAAATTTTATAATGTTAGCAGTGTTTTGTTTCGTTGCCTTCAGAAGTTTGCGGGAAAAAAGAGGGCAATATAATTCGTCTGAAGGAATTTGATTTGTTTGTTCTACGTTGCCAGTTATGTTAGACTCTGTTTTTCAACGGTCTTTTGCCGGAAAGATTGTAAAGCAAATAATGCATCAACAGTGTTCAGAAATAAAAAGTGAATGGTTGGAAAAGATGATAATCAGTTTAAGTTCTTTTCTGTTTGCTGCAATAAAAACCTGCTTAAGCTGAGAAAATCAGTGGACGGAAAGGTCAACTGATCCAATTAAACTATCATGCCTTTGTCTCATCTGTCGTTTCACTGTTTCAAAGCAGTAATTCGTCAAAGAAGTGGTTCAAATTTTATCTGAAGACCCAAACATAAAACCAGAAATTAGTTTATTGCTTAGTGGTGTATGTTTGAAGAAAGGCGAAAAAAAGGATGAACGCTCCGTTGGTGCGCTTTATAAAGTCATGAGACTATTGCTGCATTAGGTATTCCGAAAAAAAACTCTTATCTTCCCAAAATTTCCCAGAATAAATTGGTTTAATAAAAGATGTTAAAGCTTAACAGTGTCTTCAAGAAACTTGAAGTCGAAAAACCAAGGCGCCATAAAAATTTTCAATGACTATATGGTGAAAACGTTGCCAAACAGCCTTATCACTAAATTTCGTATGCAGTTGTGTTGTCGTTCTGATTTTTCTCCAATTTTTTTGGCTGTTAAGCAAAAAAAAAAAGGAAGGAAGCTTTAAATAATTATCAGTAGAATGTTAAATATGATCAAAAAATTTGTTTTGCTGTAGAACTTTTGGTTTGTAGTTGTCGTTGTTGTGGTTGTTGGATTGCTGTGTTATGTTAGAAAACAGGAATCTTAAGGTTTATTACCATATGTTTGAAACCATTGATTACAAAAAAAAAGGCATGAAAATTATTGTTGAAAGGAACCTCAGTTTCTTCCTTATAATTTCTTTCCCTTTTTTACAGTTTCGATGCGTCATATCAAAAAGGAAAGTTCCGAAAGTGGTAAACATTTTTCGAACAAAAACCTTTCTCAGCAGTCACTGTTGTCTGAAAACAGTAAGTTAATATAAGTAAATTTTATTTGCTGCTGTTATGTCGTACAATTTGAAATATTTGATAACCATAGAAAGAAAACGTACAAAAGTGCTAACAGAAGTTTTAGCAGTTTTTCTGCCTGCTCTTCGTATTTTATAGCTTTTTCTTACTCTTTAACAATGAATAAATGAATCGCTTTTATTGAGCCAAGAAAAAGCTAAATTGTTGCCAAAATTTTAACCGTATTAATGTACTGCTTTACAAATGATGAGGAAGAATTCATTAAACTGTAAAATGATGCCTTTTTTGACAACAAAAAAAAATTGGTGTTTCCTTTTTGAGAATTTTTTTCAACAATTATTAATAACAGCAGATAAGTTTTAAAATTTTAGAATCACGTAGTAACCGCACTGACAATGGTCGATGGTTGATAGGTGAACGTCATCTGAATTGGTCGTTATTCTTCATTATAGTTTGCTTTATCTTCACATTAGTGGTATTTTTTGGTACTTGTGCTTATGTGTTTCGTTGGTATTTTACACGATTCAACAGAGCAACCAGTGTTCGGTTTAAAGAGCTAAACAACTATTCAAAACAAGAACTTTTTGATTTGCAGCTCAAAAAGTAAGCGTTTTTCAAATGAATTTGTTGTTGTCGTTGTTTTATTTTCTTCTTTTTTTCTGACAATATTTTTACTACATGGAAAAACAAATAATTTTTTATTGCTTTACAAATATTTTTTATTTTGCTGTGCTAAGATGCTATTTTTCCTGCTTAAAAATTTATATCGCAAATTTGCAATTGGCAACACTAATTAATAAGCTGTTAATTTGTTATTTTAGTCCTACTCTAAGCCTCGACTTCACAAATGGGTATCTGATTTTATCGGAAGAGTTCAGTAACGAAAGCAAATTATGCTTTGAGAAGTTTTCGTTGAACGACCGAACTAATGAATACCAGCAAGTTTTTTTAATCGCATCTTGTATTGAACAAAAATTATTATTGCACAGATGCTAAGCTCACTTAGCTTCTAAAATTTCTTTCCCGGGACAGTGCAAGCAGTTTAAAAATAAAAACAAACAATAGTCTAACAGATATCTTCTTGTCAACTTACATATTAAGCATCAAATCACTGTCATTTAGGCCGAGGTTTTTGCTGCTTATGATGAACATTTTTTTTTGCTGTACTAAAAGCAATTTTTAACAGGATGATTACGATCGACCTTCCCGATCACATGTCACATTGTCATCAACTATCGAAAGATTTGTTTTGCTGTAATCAAGACTACGAACCTACCAGGGGCACTCACTGCTACTTTACAGGTATTTTATTTTCAGCACTTTTGTATTAAAGAAGCGATACCTACTAATTATTATATCCCTCACCGGGCATTCCAAATTTCGATTTGCTTACTTTTAACGTATAACTGTTTATTTCAATCGTCTTTTTTTGCAAAGTTAGAAAGCCAATTAGATTTGAAATTGTTGATACAATCTCATTCTTCTTGGTTTAGATGATGACAAGCCTGCAAGCCATTTAGTCATTCGGTCGCTGCAAATGACGAAATTCTGGCAAATTCTTTCAAATGAAGGAGCTCTAGTAATTGTTAAATCTCGTAGTGGCGATTACCACGTGATAGATACAGCATCGGCAAGGTATTTGGTTTGCATTACCAGATAATTAAAGTAATTATAATAAAAGTAAAGCAAAAAAAAACTACCAGTTGATGAAATTGTCTTGTTGCTGAGAATTTATGAACAGGTTTTAATATTTGCAGTATATTCGAAGTGAAGAATTCAGAACATAGCAGTCATGTCGTCCCCAAATCATTTTTCTTTTCTATGGAAACATCAGAAGAATTGAGTGAATTAGGTGAAAACTATCTTTATGAATCACTGTCGCATCATCTTTTGTTTAGCACTTTTAATTTAATAGTAAAAATAGAAAAAAAAAAGTAAAAGAAAAGGTTTTTGGCAATTTTTTGTTCATTAAGTCTTTTCATAATCTTCAAAAAGGATTTTGCAGCGAGAAGTGGTGAAACTTACGTCATTTGCCAGTTCTTGAAAGATAACAATCAACATTACCGGTTAGCTGGCGACGAAAAAGGTTCAATATGCGGTAAAACGAGGTACTTTGAGAAAATAGACTACCAAAGTTTCCTGCATTTGATTTATAGTTTTTGAACAAATTAATACATTTATCTCATCTTTTCTAGAATCTTGCCAATAAACGATCTTGGAGGGGTTAAATTTTGTGCCAATCCAGTTTATCAAGCTGTGATCCACTACGATAAATTTGTTGAACAAGATGACTATAATAAATTGCGATGGCATTTGCAGGTATGGTACCGTTACAGCAGTTTGAATTAATAAAAAGTTTTTTAACAAATATAGCGTAAGAAATTATTTGAAGTTTGAAATAATAATTTATTTATTTGCCACATCCTGCCAAAAATTTGTTTCAGTGACTAAACTACACTGAGTCTAAAATAATAAATGAGATTTTAGGTATCCTATAATGACGATGACGATGCTGTGGTGTATCGGCTTGAAGTTACAGAGATCGACTCAACCGATCAGCTGGGTATCAACTGCGAACCAACAGTTATTGAGGTATATATCGTCGCAAATCAAGTTCTTATAAAATATACCATATTTTTACCGCGTGAAGATGCAACTTTAATGTCCGAGCAAAAAGTATAGATCAAACAATTGTCGGAACTTATTTGGTTTATACTTTTTACTATCAACAACAGCCACAGAGATCTCAAAGTGTATAACTTAAATTTGTTGACATTATCTTTCGTGATTTTATGTACAGCAGTATATCAGTGTATCAAACATGTTATTTATTTGTTATTTTATTCTATATCATATTCATTGAGAAAATTGCTCAAATATATTAGTATGGCAATAGTTGTAAATACTCTATATGTTGTAAATAAATTAAACAACTTTAGAAGAAAATTCAGTGACCGTATCATACAATGGATTCACATTTGTTTCTGTATTTTTTATACAAACCCTTTGTTAAAGCCAATAATACTGATGTTTAAAATGTAGTAGCACCTCTCGATAGTCTCTAGTTTTCAACATAGTTTTTTATTATTATGAAGAAAAATTCTTGCTTATGCAAACTGTATCGAATGTATTTTTACAGTAAGGCTATTATTCCGTCTTAGTTACCTTAAAAACAGCAGAAGCTTTGGGTGTTTCATAAATGTTAGTGTTCTTGCTAAATCGATATAAAACAGATGTCACTCTTGAATTTTTGGCTTACACATAGCTGTTTAAAATGATGCTGTTAAAAAGTAAAACTGAAAAAAATTTAAAAAAACTTTTCAAATAAATCGTTTTTATTCAGCCTGAATCAGTTATCCACTTCAACACAAAATCTGAATAACTGTACTGTTTTCACATAAACATAAAGTGTAAAATTTAATTGAGTGGATAGCAGTGTTTCAAGAAGCTAGTTTCTTACTAGTTTACTGCCAGCGTACAATCTTAAAAGTGTACTTTGATTGCAACCAACATGATCGATACCTCTAAAAATTAGAAAATCATAAATTGTATAAATTTGCACCGCTGAAATAAATTTTCAAAAGAGCTATTTTCTTGCAATTTTTGATGACCGCAATGCACTTGTTGGTCATTATCATATAGTGACACTTTCAAAGTCAGTTTTCAGCCAAAAAGAACAGATTCGTAAAGATCAGAGTTCAGAGTTGCTTCCTCTGGGAACAAAGGTTACAAGCATCAAAATTTAAAAACGAAACAAAACAACAAATGAACATCCGCGGCTAATGGCCTCATCTTAAAGATGGTTTAAAAAAAATACTGTTTCATACTGTCGTAACAAATTGACAACTTATTGGCAACAAACAAAAAAGAAAACTTAAAACTCAAATCAAAACAAATTTCTCACATAAAACTTTTAATTCCTGATACAATAAAATTTTATAAAAAATAGAAAAATTGAAAAGTATAAGAATGCGAGAATTGGCTGAACAAGTGAAGAGTTTCGGAAACCAAAAATGATTTTGCGGTATATTTCGACGATCGTAAAATAAGTATTCAAACCTTCTATACAGTACGGTTAAAAAAAATCATGAGCGCAATACAGGTTTTGAGTTCAATCATTTTCACATTAGTTGTAATTTTTTTTACTAAGAATTAGTTTGAAAAAAATACAGGGTAACAATTATCAATACCACCATCGATGGAACCAAACGTTCTTGACCTGCAAAACTTACAGTTATTGGGATAACAAAAGATATGAGCACCCAGTGAGCTCGTTTACTCCTTAAACATATTCGGTAAACTTTAAATGATTCTGAGAATTATCACAGATTGGCCGGTGAAAACTGTTATAGAATATCAATATGTTTTCAACGGTCAATTATCCACTTAAAAACTGCAGAGAAAACCACGTCTTAATTTATGCAAATGTTTTAAGTAATTTCAGTGAAACTATTCTTTTAATATCAAAGATAAAAAGCAATTTCTAGTCAAGACTTAATTCTTTTCTCTATATCTGTCGCTAAATGAGCACTGCTTCTAAACGCATTAACTTATAGGCATTATGACTAGGAAATTATAATTAGTTCTGAATGATTTTTTTTAATGTTGAATATGGAATTCTGATACCTTGCTACAACATTGTGTAAGCATAACTATCTCAATAAAATATGAAGCTCATAGAACTGTTGGTGAGGTAATAGGTCAAATAAACAAAAATTTTTCCTTGAAGTTATATGACTATTCAAAAGTTTAAATAACTGTAACAACCAAATTTTGATATCATTTCTGCATTTATCATTCGTTATCTTTACCTTTACACATTCATAAGTTGTGAAGTTTTTTAAACCATACGGGTAATACAATGTTGGTGATGCTTAAATTTTACTAATAACAGTGTTCTACTACATAATAGAAAAAAATTCAACAACTTCCAACTGATTTTTTTTCTCCCCGTATTGGATACCTCTCAGATTGATTATTTATTATTTAGACTTTTTTGGCTTTCACTCAACTCAATAAACATAACGTACCTTCGAATTTTATGCGCAAACCTTAAAAGTCAAAAAGTGTCAGCCAAAAACAACCAAAAACTCTATAACACCTCTTGTTTCAAAAAAAGAAAAAACTTTTTTCTTGCAAACTTCTCCTGCCCTCTAAATTTCTTCAAGTTTATACTTCACTTTTTAGTCTTCTCATCATTCGTCTTATGTAAACGGGAACAAAAGTTTGTCATCTACAAAGAAAGCAACGCCATTGAGCGGCTTCTACAAAGCGCTTTTGAAGAATGCGTTTGATATCCTGAATAAAGTACTTGCTAAAAATATATGTAACTGCCTTGATGATATCGTTTCTTGATCTATTACTTTATTTTGTTTGCCTTTCAACATGTTTTATAAGGAAAATTATTGTTTTAAAAAAAAACAGATATAAATTCAGAATTCAAGAAAACAACTATTTTTGCAACTTTGCTAAACACCCCGTTATTGAAATATTACACTATTGTGCAAAAAAAAAGGATTAATAAAATGCCAAAATTTTAGTTATTTCACTATTGTTATATGTTACAAACATTCACTAAATATTTGATGTAAAAAAAAGACGAATAGTTTACAAAAGTTAAGAAAATTATTGTTTCGCACTGCAATAAAAATATTTCTAAA